TAGGAGAAAGTTTAAGTAACGACACGTGTTAAAAAACTGTTGATCCTAAAATGAACAGTGCATTCTAAATTATTAAAGAAAATAATACAATAATAAACTTACACATAAATTATGTGATTGACGTTGTACAATCATATTTATTGCAATAACTTAAATTGTTATGGCACTTTGAGTCCCTTGCTTTTATAACTGCATTTATTCGCGGAACACTTCTTTTTGCAATGACAGCGTGTACAGTTGACCCCCCCAAAACGCGACCGGATGGCCGAGCGGTCAAGGTGGCAGCCTACCGCTCTGAGGGACCCGGGTTCGAATCCGAACGGGTCGAAAAATCACCAGGAATTTTTCGGGAGGTGGTCCGTTCGGATATGTCGGGCCCCGTCGCTCACCACCCGGCAGCCCCATTGTGGGCCTGGCCGAACCCACAATGGGTTTGCAAAATGAAGCTGTCTTAGTGCCCACGGGGCGGAAAGAGTTAAAAAAAACCCATATCACTGTAGATAATTCCGTGTTATATGAATGCCATGTTGTTCGAGTCACTCAGATTTTACAAATTCCATGTTGTACAAGTCACGTATTTGTAAAATCTAAGTGACTTGTACAACATGGAATTCATATAACACGGAATTATCTACAGTGTTATAGGGGGTCTACTGTATAGCCTTACCCTCCACTTTTCGAATTAGCTGTAACTGCTTCTCTCAGCGATATTTCTTAAGAAATGTCATCTATGAAAAGTAACTTTTCTTTACAAATTACGAACTAATTACGTTATTATGTGATTACGAACTGATCTGTTAATGGTGTCTTTTATTCGGATATTGCTGACGCCTTACCGACGACCCCTCTCATCCTCCGCCACTCGACCTGACTAACCGATCCCCACCTCACGGGATCAAAAGAACAAAAACACTATTTAGTGACAAAGTGGGCGATTTTCACCAAACCGTTGCCGGAAAAGAGGTAAGACAAGGTCGTACCTCTTTTCCGGCAACGTACCCACAAAAGGTTTGAAGACAGACTGTCGCCTCTCTGTCGACATCGGCTTTTCGGGTGTCGTTTCGACCTCCACCAAAGCTTATCTGTGCTTGTCGACATACACCGGAGATTGTTCGAATGTATAATAATGTAACCAAATATTCGATCTTTCACCGACGTATGTGTCGACATTCACCGGAGAATATAGACATTCTCTAATTTCGGTCTTTCACAGTAACATATGCATTGAAAAAAGAAATGTTCCTGGTAGAATGGCCATCGTTTACAGGGTTTTTTTAACTCTTTCCGCCCTGTGGGCACTAAGAGAGCCTCATTTTTCAAGCCCATTATGGGTTCGGCCAGGCCCACAATGGGGCTGCCAGGTGGTGAGGGACAGGGCCCGACATATCCAAACGGACCACTCCCCGAAAAATTCCTGAGGATTTTTCGACCCGTTCGGAGTCCCCAGAGCGGTAGGCTGCCACCTTGACCGCTCGGCCATCCGGTCGCGCCGTTTACAGGTGGTCGTTATTGGAGATTCGACTGTATATATTAATTTTATTTCACGCATTAAAGCGCGCGAATAGTTGGCAATAAATATCAATACAAATATTAATCAATTATAAAACTTTTGGCCATTTACTTATCTAGTCACTCCTGTTATTCAACATGTTATCAGATTATTTACACGTTAAAATATAATAAGTGCAATTATCGTAGAATGTGCGTTGTTTTAATCGAATTCTTGCCTTACATAATGTTTTATCTTGGATTTTATTGTGCTGAAATTTAAAAAAAATTGTAGACCTATAAATTTCCATTGTCGTCTGTCCGTCGTCAGTCTGTCCTTTCTTAATCTCGAGAAAGGTGTTAGATAGATGAAAGTCGAGATAAGATACAGAAATATTAGGGGCAGGAAGCCTCGATTAACTGTATACGAACTTCCGATGCAAACCGGAAATCATCTTATTTCAATTCAAAACTCAAAATCTATCATTCTTATTTCACTATAATTAAATTATATAAATTTAACTTAAGTGATTTTCTCAGAATTAACTGCCTGTAACTTAAAAGTGGATGGATACTCTCTTTTAAATTGCACTTTTTACTAAAATTTATGAATTATCACATCATATATTGATGCTTTATTTATTCAGTATTTATTTATTCAAAAGTTAAATCTGAATTATCAGAAGCTCTGATATTCAGATTTAACTTTTGAATAAATACGTCGCAATTTCTACTAGGTTCAACCTAGTAGAATTGTGATGCAATACGAGATCGTTACGAGTGACCAAAATTGCCTTTGTCTCAGGAAGATATCACTTGTCTCATCTGTTGATGTCATTTGTCTCTAAAAGAAGAGACGAGAGATAAGTGACAAGGCCTTAACTCTCGTCTCTTCTAGGACGTGTTCAGTAACACAAAAATAATCTAATTGACTAGGGCGGAGGTAAAAAGTGTTCTGAGCATCTTTGAAGGGTATGATGAGTTAGTAAGTTAGACTGATTGTGTGTAAAAATGATGGATTATAAAAAATACGACTATATTTAGTCCAGCATGAGTATGCTACCCATCTTTCAAATCGTACGACGAGACAGAAACTATGATGTAACTAGTAGAAAGTTAGCAAAAACAAAACAAGGTGACTGAACTAATGAGAATTCTAGCAGTGGAGGAGTCAAGAAGTAGTTAGAAACGAATTCAACCTCGCAGCATTACTATGCTTATCAAGAATTCTGCGATACTAAACATGGCTCAGAATAAGGCCCGGGGCCGTCGAGCGCTTATATGGAGCCCGGAAATAAAGCGAGCCCTTCTCTTTCCATTGTTTATATGAACAAATGAAATACAATATATAGACTGTTTCATTATTAATAAAAGACATTCTTAAAAAAAATTTTTGTTAGTAATAATAGCATTAATTTATAAGGATAGGAACAATTACGGATTTTCATGTTTTCCCCGGGAAGGGAAAATTTCCAGCTTCCCCCTCTCAACAGCCCTCTTCTTCAAAGTGAGATGAAGAAATACATATGATCGGCTTAAAGATTTTCCGATTAATTTTCATTAGCCATTTTTTCATTAAGGCAGAATTTTCGTGCGAAAATAAATGAAAAGATTCCATTTTCTCTACGCCAGCGCTCCGCAGTCAGTGTACCAAGGCAATGCTGCCAAGAGGAGGAAAATAAATATGATAAATACATGTTGATTCAAAAGGGGCAATGATTTGCCTATTATATGTTTATTGAGTCGATTGACTTTGTCACAGTAAAGTTTTTAAAACCAGAATTAGCCATTCCCACTGCTTGTAGAGACTTTTATTATTTTCACATCTTTCATACAAAACTGGGCCCACAACCTGTTAGCTTCTTAGGTAACGATACAGAAAACAGAACAGAATACAGATTTTATTAAGATGCCACGATAAGAATAAAGACACTACACTCTATCAGAACAAATTATAAATTACATATGAGAATTAAAATTTAATTTTTAATTTACAGTATTTACGGTAGAGGAAAAAATTAACACAATAATCTTAACAAATTGTTTTTATTAATAAATAATTTTACATCGAAATAATTATTTGGCTATATCAGTCCAATTATATTCATATTTGGGTGCGCTAAATATTGATAAAGATATATTTTGCTCAAATATAGATATATAATTAGCTGTGATAAGTGATGATTCTTTCAAATATAGTTATAATATGATATCTAGGGATGCCAATTGTTCCGAACTGTTTGGAATGTCAGTTACTTTTTGAAAATTGTTCGAAAATTTTTGAAAAATGGACTAAAAGTTTTTTGTTTGTATTTTAAAATTGCCTTTTTTTTTTCTTAATTGTAAGTTAATCCGAATTCTTTTAATTTCCGTTAGTTTGAGTTTTTCTTCTGTTTTTGTCTCCTTTCGCCCTGTAGATACTAAGAGCGCCTATTTTAATCATATCCATCGCCACCAAGCCCATAATGGCAGCGGCATAATGAAGACGAATGGTGCTCCATACATCGGGAACGAAGCGTCCATGAGAAATTCCTGGGTTTTTCGACTTAGTCCGGATTCGTTCCTCGATCCCCAGAGCGGTAGGCTGACACTTTAACCACTTCGACCATCTATCTGGTTATCTCATCATCATCATAATCATCAAGGGAAAGAGGAAATGTTACCAAGATTGTAGGTTTTCACCTCATTTTTTGTGTTTTTCCCGGCTGCTATACGGTATATAATAGAGGGACAGTATGGTGATCGGTCAAAAAATGACTCCTCCCACCATTCTTACATTTTTGGACTCGACATCTTGAAACGTTGAGAATGGGTAATGATGATAAAACAAAATTTTGCATGGTAGCTTGTGTATGAGGGGCATTGATGCTATTAAATTTTGGTGGTTAAAGGTCGAGGTTGTGAGGAGATAAAGAAGTATCGCGTGTCATATTCCTAGAGGAGTTGGACTTAATAAAGATGTTATTCTTCCTTACTAGAGTTTACAATTTTTTATTATTACTATGAAACTCATCACTATCTTCAAAATTAAGCCTTTTTCCATTTTACACTAATTAAAAATATAAAAACTTTTAATAAGAAAATTTCATAAAAGATGGCGCTATGCACAACTTTATTTAACATGATTATAAATATACTGTACTGTAAAAAGTTATTTTTTAACAGCCAGAAAAGTTACTCAACTTGTTGCTGGATTTTTAAAAATAGGATTTAATTACATTTAAAGAGATTTTAACCATTAGTAATTTAAAAGTTAATATAAAATAATTTAGCCATTTACAGTTCGTGCTGAAATAATTTTTTTTGTGACAAGTAATAGATGGAAGCAAATTTTAAGTTGTCGAAATATCATCTGTGGAAGTGGGAAATTCAAAAAACTTTTATAGTTATATTCAATATTCTGTAATCTAAAGTGTTATTTCATATAATCGAGACTATCTTCATTATTCGATTTAACAATCATAATAAATTACATTTTACATTAAAAATAATTTTAAAATATATATATAAGCAAGTATGAGAAATCTATATTGTTGTTTTTTGAATCAAATACATATAAGAGTGAATCAATAAATAACCAGCCAAAAGCAACGGCATTGCTGCTTGCTCCGGCTGGTTATTTATTAACCCATCTATATAGTTTTCAACGTAATTTAAAAATTTTTTGAATGAAAATAAAGTTTCTTCTAGATAGCTTTTTAGTGAGAAAAAAGAATCATCACCTAAATTAAAACAACCTGATTTATATGTTGCCAACTTTACCCTGTAAAGCCGAGCTTCCAGTTCTACACAACCATGTAACTTGTTTTTAGAATCTTGTAGATCATAAAATCGAATGCAAACGTCTGTATACTTCTTTAGATGTGGTGCTCGAAAACAAATTGGTGGTGGATTGTGAACTACCAATATAGATATTAACGTTAAAAATTAAATTACTTCATATTTTAATTTTCAAAACTTACCTGAAATGGTTTCACTGTAAATGGTTTTGTTATCAATAGTGATAGTAAATGATAATCCATAATCATTTGGAAGATAAGTGAGATTTACACAACCTAAATACAATATACATATATAGAAAAATAGATGATTATTAATTTGATATGCAAAATGCAATATATAATATGGGTTAAGATTCTAAAATTAATTTTATTTTTCAAATGACTAAATATTTTATAATTTCAAATTTAAACTTTGAATATTTTATGCTTCTTTTATAAAAAAATTAATTAACAACAAAATAAGATATCTCAACATGTACAGTACTTGTTTAATATGATCACTTTTATTTCTGAGAATTTTAAAACCATTACTAAGAAGAGTATTTGTTTTTTAATTTTAATGCAACAATGAGATACTTATTGAAAAAAATATGATATTATGGCAGTTGTAAATTCCCTAACAACTGAATTTAAAAAATGATATATATATTTTATCATAAGTTTCATTTTTATTCAATAAAATTTTTGTTAATTCATTTCAATTTACGTATTTATCATACAAATATTTATTATAAACCATCACACTTTTCATTATTTATACCTGCAAATTTCGATTTTCTTTTATTATATGACATCTCTTAATATGTTTTAATTTTTTGTGTTAATAAACAATTAAAGTTTTAGGGTTTATCACACTGACTCACTTGACTAATGTTTAAATTACCAAAAAGGTCTAACTGAAGAGGAGCCATTATAAACTCCGAAATGCATTTTAGATTGGTAATAGTGTGCATGTATATAGATGTATATAATTAATTAATAAACTCCCCTTGTCAAGTGAGTCAGTATGATAAGCCTTAAAAGTTTAATTGTCTATTAACAAAAAATTATAATAGTAATAATAAGGGCAAGAAGCTATAGTATTAATATATGTTGTTTAATGCTTTGTTTTTAATATGGGTGCGAAAATCAATTGTCAGACATTTCCTACTCTAATTAGCTATATAAAATTAGAATAAATTTTAAAATTTTTAGTGAAAATTGAGTGAAATCTTATCATAATATGATTCTAAAAATATATTTAGGATTAATCCAATTTTGATTTTTATTATGATAACTTATCATATATTGTATTTGTTAAACAATCTATTTTTGAAAAAATATCAAAAACAGTCTTCCAAGTAAAATAGATCTTTATTATGATTATCTGTTGTAGATCTGTTTTATATTAAGATATATATGCTATAACAATGTTATAACTACTTTTGAGAGTAATTGACATTTAATTTGTTTTTACTTTTGTTAGTTATTTCAACCTAAAAAATAAAATGTGTCTTCATTTACAATTTAATAAGATTTTATTTTACAGTGAGTATTCAGTAAAAGTTAAAAAGAAAAAATTAAGGATCACAGATTTGATACTCCGTCAATGCCATCAGTAAGCGATTCTCTGCACAGTAGCTTACAGTAGCTAATACAGCTTGCAAGATCACTGATTTTTAATCTTTCAGATTTCTGAAGAAAATGGAGTTTTAAATAAGCCTTATTCCATTCAACAATTAAAACTTTTCATCAAAACAGAACGTAACAGTTATTACAATTGCCACATTTTATTTAATGAATGTATTTAGAAATGTGTCAATGTATATTTTGAGATCATGTTTATACAAATGAATTCATAAATGGGTTTGTAATGATGATAAAACAAAATTTTGCATGGTAGCTTGTGTATGAGGGGCATTGATGCTATTAAATTTTGGTGGTTAAAGGTCGAGGTTGTGAGGAGATAAAGAAGTATCGCGTGTCATATTCCTAGAGGAGTTGGACTTAATAAAGATGTTATTCTTCCTNGACGGCGGAAAGTAGTTCGGCTGTCCGATGACGTTTTACCGAATTATAGGAGTTTTTTTTACCATGTTTGTACGGATACCGTCGCAATTTTTTCGTTGTCATATAGGAATCCGAACTATAGGAACTCGTGTTATAGGGGAGTCGACTGTATATTGTAAACTACATTCGACCTTCCCTATAAAATGAGTTCCTATAGTTCAGATTCCTATATCACAGCGAAAAAATTGCGACCGTATTCGTATAAAGACGCTAAAAGAGACTCGTAAAATGCGGTAAACGTCATCACCGACTCGTGTCGCGACAAGATTGGTCGAATCTGGACCAATAGTGGACGAGCAGCCGAACTACTTACACGCTACGGAGAATTTAGGCGGGTAAGTTGTTTACTATCGTCTGTACAGTATATAGGCTTAAATTAGATACTGTAAGTCTAATACAGTACTGTAATTTTATACATTTCTTGTGAAAAAACATTTCTTATTCAACGGCCATAAAAATTATTTATATTAATGATGTCTCCAAAGTTCAGCGAATTTTTCGCAGAAAAATAACTTATCAGAAAAATTTCGTCATTGCTTAAGGGGTTAAGGGGTCGCGGAGCGCCGCTCCGCGACGAAAACAAGCTTAAGCAATGGCGTCGTCGAACGGTGCACACTCGGTAAGTAATCCTACAATATTTTGTTTATAGCATAGTTTATACGGATTATTCCCAAAAAATTATACGTGTTTTGGAAATGTTCAGTCGAATTAGTGTAGAATCGATTAATTTTATGGAAGTAACCTTTCAAACAGCCATAGTCCGTAAACTGCATACGTGCCGGGCTGTGATTGGCTGGACTCATAGAAAATGGATTCATAAAAACTGGAACGTATCTACAGTGTCGATTGTATAATGAATCAATTATAAATTTATTCAAATTACCTGTATCATTCAAATAAGTCTTTGGTACTTCTAAATGGGCGCAACAGCCACAAGTAAATTTATAACAGCTGCATCCAGTTTCATCAAAAGTAGATGTAATAGTAG